TTTTGTTGGGTTAAGTCCCCCCTCCCTTTTCTCTACCTTTCAGAATGGCTGTTTGCTCCTTCGTGGTTGTTTACCATTTAACTTTTTGTGATGTTAGTCTCTGCATTTGTTTTTTTTTATTTACTTATTAGATTTTTAAAAAAGTCTTCGCTCACCCAAAAAGGTCTCGCAGTGGCTTACAACATTTGAAAACACACATATTTTCAGTGTTTACGTAGTGGCACAGTTTTTGTCCCCATGGTGCATCGACTGAGAAACCATTGTTTGTATCAGGCATACCCATGCTAACGATGAAACTTGATTCCATTCAGGCAAAATAAACAATTGCTTGCTTCCATTCAATTGTAAAATTGTATGTGCTTTTTCTAACACAGAGCTTTTCCTGGCCGAGATTAATCGGAATATGGCATCTCCTTGTAATAATTTGAGATAGTAACTAGAGTGCCACAAGGACAAAACTCCTCTCCTTTTAATAGTAATGTTAAAAAAAGGAATCCCAGCAAGTGAATCTATATTGTTTGTAACAGGGGTGAGGAAAGAAGCAGCTGCGAAGATTCCATCTTATACATAAAACGGGAAAGGGAGAACCGTGTGCACCACACTGAACTCCTTAGAGTAACAGCAGGATGAAGATGAACTCGATTTTTAAAAATGTATTATTTAGACAGCCAAGTGTGCCTTAATGATTCAGATGTTGAATTAGGAAGATCTGCATTCAAATCCCCATTCCACAATATTTTTTTACTTACATCATTTATAGTCCACCTTTCTCACTCGGACTCAAGGTGGATTACACAGAGCGAGTTGATACAATTGACAGGTTGGTACATTCAGTACACAATGCAATAAGGATTTGGGCTTTAGGACCAATCAGAGGTCTAAAAACAGAACTGGAGCAAAGTATGTGCATGCAAAAATTATATAGTAGGATCCTACTTACAGCAAGCTATACACAGTAGTATAGACTGCAGTCCCTAATAATTTATCTAAGTAACTTTGTGACTCATTTAGTACAGTGCAACTCTATTGCCTGCATAGCAAAGCTCTCTTGAATAATTCAGTTTTGCATAGTTTGCAGAAAGCCAGGTGAGCGGGAGTTCACTGCAGCTCAATGGATGGCTTTGGGCCAGTCATTCCCTTTCAGCCTAAGCTTCCTCACAGGGTTGTTGTACAGTTAAAATGAGGAAGGAAGAGATAGCCAAGTATGCCTTGGGGGGTGGATGGGATAATAATGTGCTAGACAGATAAGAATGATAGATAAGGGAGTGCTGCCTACTGTTGAATTTGGGCATCATTAAAGAAAAATGAAAGCACTGCGTTGTTTCAGTTCATGACCCACTGAGCTGAATAAAGCTTCATACTAATTACATTAGGGAAAACAAACATTTCCATAATTTGCAGGCGGGGGGGGGGGACCATGCTTGCGTTCAGTGCATATATATAGTTATTTATTTATTATTCAGATTTATATCCCGCCCTCCCCAACGGGTTCACATCTTTATTATGGCAATCAAATGAAATGTTTTCAGTGCATGCTGGATTCAAGTTTCTCTTACCGAAGTTTCTCTTGTCGATCAGGTGTTGAACAGTCTGAATTTCTTTGCCAAGCTGAAGTATTGTTTATGCTCCTACTTCCTAGTTAGACATGGAAACCAAAATAGCATGCTTTCCCTCACACATCTCTTAGCCAAGTGTTTTTCTTCAAGTTAACTAAATACATATAATCAAAGTATTGACAAAGTGCCATTCTGTTAACTGAAGCTGTTTAGATTTTCTGACATTTCCTTGGCTACAGTGGAACATCAGAATATGATTGGCCCATGGGGATAGTAAAAATGGTGGCAAACGGGAGCCTTAAATTGTCTTGCAGATTTGTGGGGAGGAGGGTAGAGAAGGGGGAAAATACAAAACACACTATACAATGGAAAATGCAACAGAAATTAATATTTAACCATCTGTTGCCAAGATTGTTTCAAAAGTTCTTTAAATGCTCTTTAGAGAATAAGAAGAATAAGACTTGTTGTTCTCATGAACTTCTCCAGCATGGCCATGCTTATGAGAAATTAAAACCACTACACAAAATCTGGTGGCAAAACTATTTGTCTGATCATTCATTTATTTGAAAACTACCTTGCTTTTAAGTATATAGAGTCATTTAGCTGAGGGCAATGGGAATCTTTTGGCAGTGAACTGTCTTTATAATGCCCTTTCAAGAAGGGAATGTTGTCTCAGGAACAGAACAGAATCGAAGATGACACTCTGCCCAGTGAGTCTGTGAATAGGTCTCGGTAGCTGTGGACTTTTCTATTAGTATATAATGTACTTTAGGTTTTTGTATCATAATGAATATGTATAAGATATACTAGGTTCTCTACTGTATTTAAATCAATATATGAAGACACAAGTGCATATTAGTAGAGTGTGTTTTGTTCTAACACGTTGTTTCTTTATGTTTGTCCACCTGGAGTTTGGCAACCCTACTACCACTCCGCTCGGTCAAGTATAAAGATTCCCTCTGGCCCAAATTGCCTTTCTTCCTTAGTCCTCTTTCATTGGAGGAAGATTTCAGCATGGCTGAGTGGAGTGGTCAGATTTCAGCCAACATAATATAGGATCTGTGAATGAAGAACCACTAATTTCTGTTAACCCTGATCTTGTGTATGAGCACTCCCCATGGAAACATTTGTTTGTCCAGCAAGTCTGTTCTTGCTCCAAACACAAAAAACCCTCTTATTAGTTTTGTGGTCTCATCAAATGGCCTGTACATAGCAAAGAGAAGTGTGATTGGTAGGAAAAGTTCAGTGCAACTCAAGCTGCCCGTACACTCAGCTTTTGTTGTAGCTTCTACAAACCTACGTTATTGACTCATGAAGAACCTTATGTCTCCTGTCAAACCATCTCTGAAAGTCTCTTGCCTTGAAAACCCCGTGGGTCACCATAACTTGGCTGCGGCTTGATGGCTCTTTCCACCACCACATCTGCCGTTATGGTTCCATATTAGCCACTGAAGGACTATTGAGCATTTGTCCATGTCCTTGAAGTCCTTTAAGGCACAGATCACTTAACCATGTTATTTTCTGAACGGGGGGGGGGAGGATAATTCAACAGTGATGTGCTATGCAGTAAATTCCAATAAATGTTCAATTCGTTCAACAAAATAGTCCAACAAGAAGACCCCTTAGGATATACGGTGTTTGGATTGCCTTTGTATTTCATACCACAGTGGTCATTTTGTGAATGAAAATATTGGTGCTTGTTAGTCTTTGGCAGAACATATGAGCAGCTCGAGTTGCACTGAACTTTTCCTAACGTTCACACTGTTGTTTGCTAGGGACAGGCCATTTGATGAAATCACAAAATTGAGGGTTCTTCTGTGTATTTATGGCAGTGCGTATACATAAAGTCAAACAGGAATGAATGGTTCTTCATTCACAGCTCCTGCCTTTACATTGGCTTACATCCAACCATCCTACTTTAAGTTGAAGTCTTCCTTCAGTGGCAGAGGCTTGAGGAAGAAAGGTCCGTTGAGCCACAGGAGTCTTGGCTGAGCAGGGTTGCTGGGTTTGTTTCTTTGCAGAAAGATGGCATCTTTTAAGTACTTATAAATGAAGAACAGTGATGTGCTATGCAGTAAATTCCAATAAATGTTCAATTCGTTCAACAAAATAGTCCAACAAGAAGACCCCTTAGGATATACGGTGTTTGGATTGCCTTTGTATTTCATACCACAGTGGTCATTTTGTGAATGAAAATATTGGTGCTTGTTAGTCTTTGGCCGAACATATGAGCAGCTCGAGTTGCACTGAACTTTTCCTAACGTTCACACTTTTGTTTGCTAGGGACAGGCCATTTGATGAAATCACAACATTGAAGGTTCTTCTGTGTATTTATGG